GGTAATTTATGATCTTTTCTCTTAATATTAGAAGGGAAAGTAATTGTCTCTGTTATGGTTTATGTCTTAGAGTCCCCCACGCCTCATGCAATCATGAAGGTGGCTGAATCCAGTGTTTGTGATTGGTTTATGTCTTGAGCTGGGACTGGGGATGTAAGTTATGCACCAGCAGGGCAGGGAGCTGGCACACAGTATAGGGAGGGAAAGAGGCAAGCTTTTCCTATTTTTGCCCTTTTTCTCTTGTTGCGTGTGGCCGCCATGAATGGCTGCCCCTCAGCCATGCCACCCTGCCTTGGAGCCAGCAGAATATAGACTGAAACCTCTAAAAAACTACAAACCAAATAAGCCTTTCCTTGCTTGCCTTAAGGCATCATGTATTTTGTCTCGACAACCAGAGAAAAGTAACCAAGATAGTCTCTTACCTTACTTACTATTCCAGTGGTAAATATTTTAGAGCTTTCAACAAACAAACTGCTGTGACATGTGTGCCATAGGTTTGCCACCACTGCCCTGTACCATGTGCAAAACTCAACTGTGCCTTTGTGAGTATCACAACATGGCTAGATCAACAGTAATTTGGGTTGTATAAAAAGGCTGAATCTTCATTTGGAGGAAATTTTTGGATTTCTGAAATATAACTGGCAGCCATTGTTTTGAGAAAAATAAGGAATAGTATCCACTGGAGGACCTGGATTCTGGGTTGCTCAAGGAATAGAAATACAGTGCTATTCCCTAATTCCCAGATCAGTATGGTCTGTCCAAATTTGACTCAAAGACAGGGAGTTATTCAAACAGCACAGCTGTCAGCACTTTGTCTAATTAAACTAGAATGTTAGACACCTTACCAATAAACAGAATAATAGAAATATATTCCAAAAGACATGAGATTTTTCTTAGTACCTCTAATGACAAAGACTTTATAGATTCAGTTTGATTTACAAAAATAAGGCTGTTCTCATTAAATGTGCTGAAGGATTTACATACTAGGTATTTTATGTATAGTTTTAGTTAATGGAGAAGAAAGATTAAAAAAAAAAAAGCCTTACTGTCTCCTTAGGGTAGTACAGCTAGAACTATTATTAAATGATGAGCAAAATTCTTTCATTTTTTAAAGTTTCTGGGTTCCATGATTTAAGCTATCATGGAGACCCAGGTAGATATTATGTTTAATATGTTTGAAAATAATTTTGGAATAACTTTGACAGCAGTATAGTAAACATGGTAAGTTATTTTCTCCATATTTCTTCTTCAGCATCATTAGCAACATTCTGACTTTGTTTCACCTATAATTTAACCATATCAGGCAGTATATCATGGTTGTCTAAGGCTATGACCATTACTTCATTGTCAAATATTACTTTTCCAGTTTACCTTACTGAAAACTTAACCATATGGTACCATTTTGGATGCAGAGATAAGGGAATGATTGACAGAGCTTAATGAAAAGATTTTGTGCTGCTGATAAGAGAGGCATATCTGTTGGTACTACCTGATCTATTCTTTCTACCTTGAGCATACCTAAAGTCACAGCCACCAGTGATCATATCAAAACAAACAAGACCATAATAAAAACAACAATAATAATGAAAATAATACACAGATGCACACATTGGGTCCTTTCTGATTTTGTTGAGCAACTAGGTCACGAACTTACCACCTTCTTTCTCTTTACTTCTTTTTAAATGAACAAAATAAATCTTAGGTGTTTAAGCTCCTGTTTGATTTTATCCGTTACTTGAAGCAAAAAGCAGTATTTCAAGCACTGCTTCCAAGCATCAGTTTAGTAGTCTTGTTAAGAATATAGTGAATGGGGCAATAAGACATCTGAAATAAAATGTTCCTTAAAAGCCCATGATAACTTACTTATTTAATCATTTTTACGTCAGACCAATGCAATTCAACTTATTTAAAGCTGAAAATAATGAGACAATAGTAGGTATTACTAAGTTTTAAAAAAGCGTGTAACAGCAAAAATAGCGACTGTAAAAAACTAGAATTGTGAGAAGAATCTAGGCATGTGGGAAGAACTGCCTGCCTTGAAATAGCTTATGTTCTCTTGAGTCTCTGTGTTTCCTCTTCCCATTTGCCAGGAATTTTCCCTCAGATTTTTTTTTTTCTGTAAATCACAAACTCCATCGTTAATCCTACATGTTCCTGAAACCTTCCATGATGCTCTCTTGTTAAATGCCCTTCTCTTGTTCTGACTCTCTCAACACAAATACCAGACCTTACTCTGTGCTTCTCAGATAAATCGAACAGAATATTGGAAATTTTGTAAGCAAAATATACCATGGAAGAGACAGGTTAGAATTTGTCCTGCACATGACCATACTTAGGGAAGGAACACAAAACATGGTCTTTTCTTTTTCCCCCCTATAATTGAATATCTCATGAGCACTATCTTATGTTCCGACTTCGGTTAATTACTGCTTCTAAACATTTGAGAACATTTAAAATGTGGCCCAGTAGAACCTTGTGATACTACAAAGTGTTTTATAAAATCAATATTCAACTATAATTTACCAACAATATGTAAAAAGATACAATTAAGCTGGAGGTTTAGCTCAGTGGCGTAAGTGCCTGCTTGGCAAACAGAAGGTCATGAGTTCAAACCTCAGTTAAAAAAAAAAAAGCCAATTAAATTCAAATGAAATATTCCCTCAGAACTACACACAAAGCAATGTGATAACTGTTGTTAATTTTATATATAAACAACCACAGAAATGTTAGCTAATTTTGACTCAAGTGTCACTGTGAAAATATCTGAAATAGAACTCAGAGTTCAGTAGGCATGTGATGCCCATATGGACAAGGCATGATCTAACAAGAGAGCCACCTGCACATGGGAGCCATAGCTAGAATATGAAGAATATGCATTTGGAAGATGAGGAAAATATTCTTTCAAAGATAAAAATCTGTGGTTCACTCTTTAGATAAATGCAGATGAATTGCCAATGTAAGCATCAGAAGTAATATTTAGGAACAAATTCAATCAATCATAAATATGTTATTACTCTTAAGATCCCCATCCATAGAAGGCCTTATAACGTAGATGTTTATTCACAAAACTGTAGAACCATTCACTGACCTTGTGATACCCAGAGACACCTTGAACAATACTCTAAGAATTATTTAGTACCAAATTAGAGATTGAAACATTTTAATTTCAGCTTTGAGACTGAAAATGATTTCTAGAAATGTATTTTCCTTCTGAAAAATAATTGCTTTTGTATTCTCTTTTCAATTTAACAGTTTAATATATTCACGATAAGACTCATTTCTAAAAAGAGCCAGTTCTTAAGAAAAGCAATTCTAACCATTTTTATAAAGATTTTTTTCTTGACATATTATAGTTGATACCATTGGCAATAAAGTCATTGACTTTACCTATTCCAAACACTTTAGCAATGATACGATTTTAAGTGAAGATATGTCCAACAATTTTGAATATCCCTGTACCAATAATCTTGTTACACAAATTTTATGTATCAGAAAAGGAAATCTAGGTTTCCTCTGTGAAATCTATAAATATTTTAGACAATAAAAATGTAAAACACAGCCTAACAAAGAAAGATCATTAGTAGAACATTGTGCTGCTATTGGCAATAGAATCTTAAATTGGCAGCAATCCTATTAGAAAATAGAGAAATGGGAAAACAATGGTTTTAAATAATTGCCTGTCTAACAGACCACAAAAATTATATATGAACAGTAGTACTCAGTAACACTGTGATCGGTTCATCTTAAATTAATACCTGAAGACACAATTTGGATAGACTATCTTCTAGGGATTCTTGAGAAATCACTTTGTAAGTACAGTTTTGAAGATTTTGAAATACATATATAATATTTATTTTGTATACTCAAGCTTTGTTAATATTCAGGATGTCATAATTCTAACACAGATTGAAAATTTTCTTAAAATAAACTGCTAGCAAAAATAATCTTTCAGTATTATGGACCAAAATATATTAATGTAATATGTCATTGATTCTCTTTTCTCCTATTTCTCATAACAATGAGACGGAATATTTTCATAAGAGATTATTGCATTCCAATTCTTTTTAAGGACCAACATTATAATAGTTGATACAGTAACATTTTTACTTCCCTGTTTGTATTTCCATTCATTAGACTTCCTGAGAAATTATATAATGGATCGGATTTTTATGAGTATTTACCAGTGAAGGTTTCTGAATATTGCTACCTAGCTAATTTTGCTATACTAAATGAGTATAAATAAACTTCTAACCATCAATTTGACTTGACAGATTCTGAATTTATCAAACGAAAAGGTAATCATTTGTTTTCCATGCACTTTATTTTGTTATTGCTGTGCAACTCACTTATATAGAAACTGGAAATATTTATTTCTGAATAACTTTTTGTTAATTGGTGTAAATAGCTCATTCCTTATATTATGACACTGGTAAACTTCACTCATTTAATTCATATAACCATCAATGTAATTATCTACCCATAATTATCAATCATTGAACTTCCACTATTTGTCAGAATAGCTGACATTGTTATAAGTCATCTGCACGAATTTATTAATAAGGACATTCAATACAGAGCCACAGCAAACTAAAAGTTTTAGGTAAGTTTAACTTGAAATCATCTGATACCACTCAGTTATCATTAATGATTGATCAAGAGTGTTCACTGCACGGGCTTTCTCTGTTGTTTGCTATTAGAGGAGAACTCAAACATCTGGGAGAATCTTGCTGTTTAAAATATATAGAAACAAATCAACCCAGAGCTCACAAATCATTTAACTTCTCTGAACCTTAGTTGCTTCAGATGTAAGAATGGCAACATTCATAATAGCTGTAATTTATGCAGTTGTTAGCATCAAATAAAGTTGTATATAGAGAAAGCAGTTGTAAAAGGCAAATTGATGATCAAATATTACATTTTTTGCTTCACCTTACACGTTGTGGTAAGTTTCTGAATATTCAACAACACTGTTTGAGTATTTATTTTTCCAAAGTACTTACTGGTGTAGACGAGTTGAAAGCCTTCATCTGTCCCCTCAGCATCAGAATTAAATTCCAGCCAGAGTTGATTGGAAGTACTACTAAGTGTGAGTCCTCGCATAGACGCACCAGTGAAAGCACCCAATAGATGTGTTGTTTTATCTTTTCCATCATAAATCTGCAAAACATATTAAAGTTAAAATGTAAATGTGCAGGGATGGCCAATTGCTACTCACATTTCCATCATACTTACTCTTTTGAAGATTAAACTGCTCACGTTTTCACCTGTTTTTCTTCTACTAATGAGTTGCAGTCTTCTGATCAACGCTGATTTCTACCATTGAGACCCATGACACGGAACTAACATAACTTACTCTCCCCATATTGATGAACTAAAGCTATTTTTCCCTATAATTAATGCTGCAGTAAACAGCCTTTAACATGTGATCCCATGGGCTTATGATACTTGCATTCAGTAGGTGTTCAAATAAAGGATTTCTGTACCAACATGTTCATGTATTTCCAGATTACATTTCCGAATGTTTGCAGTAATTAATCTCAGGATTTGTCAAGAATGCATACTATCATTTATTTTCCTTGTGACATTCATTCCCAATGTGGTCTTTATTGCCCGCGAGTCAGTGAAAATTGTTTCTTGGGAACAATACCCTTCTAGATATGTCAATAGTCAGGGGTACCCCAAGGATCCATTCTGTCTAACAAATCTGATGTTTTTCAATATGAGGGATTGAACTCAGGCCTGGTTAGACAGCAGCTCTATCGCTGAGCTAAATCCTTAGGCCCCTCTGGGCAAATCTTCACTAACATTTTCTTCCCTGGATTGGAGGATGGGGGTTCCTTAGGTGAATGGGACTGCAAAGAAAAACCTGAGAAATTCAGTTCAAACTTACTCATCCTTGCCTCATATTTTCTCATGTACTCATGACCTGACATTAGAGTGAAAGCTGTGTCCTTCGATTCCTGTTCCAGTGACATTTTGGGCACACTGCTCCCCCAACATGAAACTCTTAAGAATGATGTGGCCCAAGGGAAGCTTTTCAGGTGGTACATGAAGGAATGTTGTGTTAGTAATGTTTGTGTGCATAAGACATTTTTCTCTTCTGTTAAAACTTTGGAGTCAAAATTAATCTATTTAGAATATTTTATACAGTTGATAAATGAAGCTGATGCACAATTTTTCTTTTCAGAAATTATCTTTATCACCTTAATACTGATGTCATGTTACCTTTTAAAACTGAGACAATTTCATTTTACTTTTGAGATCTGCATTCTTTGAATAAAACAGTACATGCCTTATATCCTCAGGCTAAAGATTTTCATCCATTTAGGAAAATGTGCTAGCTGGTGTTTTGGTTATTTAATTACTACTTGCCTATCTTCCCTCCTACCAGGAATGCCTATTGTTTGCATAGTAGTGTTCCAAAACTGTATTGTAACTTTCACTCAAAATTTATATCTGTGTCTTTCCTCCTTGTTAACAGTCTTTCACTGAATGCTTCTTAGTAGCAATGGGTTATCTGCAGCAACTGAGGCCCCTTCGGTCTTCCATTAACATCGTAAAATTCAAAACCAGCTGTCAAGTTGTAAAAAGTGTTTTTCTGAGGTGCAGTACACTTTAATTATATTTTTTAAGGATTTCTTACTGCTGTGTGGGTTATTTGTTGATTTGTGGATGCTGAGGCTAAACCCAAGGGCTTTTGCACCTTAGGGGATGCACTGAGATATATCCCTAGCACATTCTTCTATTTCTAGTCTAGTCTAGTCTAGTCTAGTCCATTCCATTCCATTCCATTCCATTCCATTCCATCCCATCCCATCCCATCCCATCCCATCCCATTATTGGAAGACAAGGTCTTGCTAAGTTGACCTCCAACTTGTGATCTTGCCTCAGCCTTCCTCATAGGTGTGATTACATGTGTAAATTCATGCAAGACTTCTCAGTACTTTAAAATGGTTAAGACTCGGTTTAAAACTTTTCATTTATTTCTTGTATTAGGTACTTAGTTTGGTGTTTATAACTCTAATTAGTGAATTTCCTTAATTATGCATTTAATTGAGAGATTTCATGTTTTCTTATTACTAGCGCTGTCTTAAATTATATATATATATATATATATATATATATATATATATATATAATGTGAAAAGTAACAAAATAATTCAATACATATTTAGCTTCACACTTTTTCTGGGTTCTATGGAAAAGATCAATACAACATTTTTCTTAATTGGAACATTTAAAAAAATACCAAGGCTTGTTTATCACATTAGAGACACTTTCATCAAATCTATGTTTTAAGCCAGAAATATACATCTTTTTTGTAAAGGAACTTTAAGATATATTTAAAAATGATTATTAAAATAAAATATAATATAAAAGACTACTTTAAAATAAAAATATAATTATCTTAAATTCACCTAAGAGAACTTAATTCACTATTAAAACCAACTAACCACAATTCACTTAATCATAGATCATCAAAAGGTAGAAAAATAACACCTAAAGTTCAAAAAAAATAAGCTTTAATTCTTCAAGTGTGAAATACTGAAATTATGTATACAATCACTCAAAATGAAAAATAAGTGTCAATTTTAAGGTGTTTATTTTTTTAAAAAAATAAGTTTTATAGGTTATTTCTGTTGAACTTTAAATAAAATCCTTCAGATATATTGAAATGCATTATATAAAAGCATGAATGTAACAAGGCAGGACAAAGCAGTGTAATCAAAGGCAAATTGCTTTTACTATAGATATGCATGCAAACATACAAATAAAAAAGCAAGATAAACAACATATGTCTCTCTTTCAAAAGTAAATTTATGGTTTAGAGCAATTAAACTGGGCCTGAATAAAACTATGTAGAACTTTTATTTGAGCCTGCTACATTGCATTTTACTCTTCTACTTAAAATTTTAAGAACATTTTTATTTATTTAGCACTATACTGTCTCCTCTTTTCTTTTTTCAAAGTATTATTGTTACATTGACCTAAGAGTTAGTATCACAGAGAGCAAAGACAACTTCTATAACATCAATGACACTCTGATGATATGGCAATTTATTAAAAGGTGGCAACTCATTTGGTGATGATAGGCCAGAAGGAACAGAACTCAACCGTGCCATATTTTAATTATCAAACTTGCCCAGGGGTTTAGGTTAATTATGGCATGCAGACCTGTTTAAATCTCTCAGCTGAAACTTTAGTATGATAAAATGCTCTCATCATTCAAAAAACTTGTTGGGAGGCCTGTTATAAATGCATAATTAGAAGACATGTTCTCACTCATTGTTTCATGAGTTAGCAGGTAAGATGTTCTTTGACTCTAAGAGCAAAAAGAAAATTTTTGAAAGAAAATAAATTATACATGTACATATATAAAATGATTCAGACCTCCACATTAAGTCTCCTCTAGGATACTAGAATTTTGCTTTTGGTCATTTGCTTTATCAATTGTGGTTTGGAATCAGCTTTTCAAATAAATTAAAATTGACAGTCCAAGTCTGAATGAAAAAAAATAATTTACAGTGTTTAACCAAAAAGAGTTCTGTTCTGAAACTTATTCTATCCTCCTCAAAGATAACATGAAACAAAGCAGAGAATTTGTATTTGTATTTAATTGCTTTTTTCTTAAATGTATATAATGTATCCTCAATTAGATGAGTTAATATATTTTAATAAGGGAATTAGCATAACAAAGGATCAGTTTTCCAGGACTTTGGAGAAAAGGAGTTGTAATCTTATCTCTATATCAAAGTTCTGTGTTTTATAAAAAATTAGTTCATATTTTTGACTCAGATACAGAAATAAATCAAAGGCCTAACACAGAGGTCTGCTCTTTGAATCTTTGGAGTGCTTTCAAGGCACAAAGTAACCAAGGATGACCAGGATACAGGAAGCAGACTTGGAAGACACAAATGTGAACACACATGGCTGGTGTGTGCTAGAAAATGTGCAGCATTTCTCAAGCAAGCCTGGTGAATGTGTGTTCTCATTTATAATTTTCAAAAAAATAATACTTGCTGTTACAGGAAGATGCCAAACTTCCTGAAAAGGGTTTGATGATAAATATTTTAGGCTTTGTGGGACAACACTCTTTCTGTCACCACCATGCAGGCCTACCAAAAGTAGCCACAGACAATAAGTCAATGAATCACTACGGCTTTCTCCCAACAAAATGCTCTTTACAAAAAGGGTACCAGCCTGGTGCAGTGGCAGATGCCTACTGTCCCCAGCTATCCCAGAGGCTGAGACCTCAGGATCACTGGAGCCCAAGTGCTGGTCAGCCGAGGCAGCATAGGGAGAGCCCAGCCCAATTTGGTCCACAAACGGCTCTTTTCCTGCCCTTGATTTTAAGAGAGTAGAGCATGCAAAGTTAAAATTATTAATAAAACATTCAATATTATTATAAATTCCATTTAGCTAAATAATCCTTACGGAATACTTTCACTGTTTTTGCCAAACTTTTCTATATATAAACTATGAATGCAATGATAAAAGAAGTTCCTAACTGAATATTGCTTGTTTTACTTTTTTCATGTTAAGAGGAAAAAGAAACATCAAAATATGATTTATCAAAACTGTACTAGTTTTCCAACAATATGAGAAACTTCCTTACTGAACTGAACCTGTTTTAAATACTAGAAAAAGTGTCCTCAATATCGTGTGCTATATCCAATGTAGTAGTTATTGACACATTCCTTTTCTACCTTACCCAAGGTAGTGAACAAAATATTACATCAACCTGGGATGTGTAGTGCTTGCTGATTTCTGTGGTATAAACAGTCTACGGGCAATATACATCCAGCAATCCATTATTATTCAACTTGGCAAAAGAAAGAGGTATCCCTAGATTTGCAGATGATAGACAACCTCTATCAAAGAACAAAAATAAGGATGATTTAGTTTAACGATTTAATTGGATTTACATTCTAATCTAGACTCCTTTAACTTTTCATTACATAAAACAGAGTAAATATCCTGATGGGCTCAATAAAGGAAGTTGGTTTTATAAACAGAGATGGGTTGCAGAATGCAGAAACCAAGGAACACAAAAGCAGACTTGTTATTTTAAGCTTGTTTGTAAGGCACAAATGGAGATACTAAACAAAGTGATTACCTAACATCAGGCTCTGAATTTATGCCCTTCGTGAGAAGACTAATACGAAGGGGATGTTATTATCCTGCTCACTGAATCTGGCCTGTTTGGGAAATTTGTCTGTTATCTCTAATCATGATTCTCAAAAGTTCAGATCAACAGCTTTGTTTCAGCTTGTTGATGTGGAACTTCCGCATAGGTGACTGTTTTGATTTTTAGCTGGGGCTTCCTGAAGGCCTTAATGCAAAACAATGGCTTTTTGTAATATTCAGTCTGTCTCTCAAAATCACTATTAAAGTAACTAGGAAACTGGAATTTGAATTTACTATTTTTTAAAAATATAATTTAATTCTAAATTTAATAATAATTTGATGACAGTCTAATTTGAAGTATGATTTTTAGTAACAGTTACATTTGAAATTCATCTCTCAGAATTAATGAAAATTTAACCATTGACTCTCAAAAATCGAATTCCAAACTCTCATTAGAGATAAGAAAGACATTTGAAAACAATGTATCATAGGAAATAAGAAAATAATCTCTCTAAAAAATATTATTGGATTTTCACCTATCTTATTTTTCACCAATGTGTCATGATTTTCAAACTTTTCCTCAAATTTTCAAGGCCAAGTTCAAATTAGGCTGGCTTTTTCGCCATAATCACCCATTAAGTCTAAATTTTGGATAAGCAATAATTCTTTTAGCTATGTACTACTAACTGTAGAAAAAACACTATGTCAAATTTCTGTAGCTACTAAATTATTCTATCTAAACCTACTGCTTAGTCTTTATTAGAAAATAAAGCAGCACAGAAACCAAAATAGTGTTTCTGAATGGTATTCGGGCTTCAGGCTATCAGTTTGCAGTGAAAACTATTCACTGTTGATCATTTAAAGCCTAACTATAATAAACATCTTCTCTAGCTGTTATTTGAAAGAGTTAAGTAAATTACATGTTACAATCGAGGGTGAAGGAAGCCATTCAGTATTCCGGCCATATCATATGTGAAAAGAACAGAAGAGCCCATGCTAGTCAGATTCCAACCAAGCTAGATAAGCATCCTCTTGGAGAATTTAGAAAAGGGACAGTGAGCTATGCTCTGGTCCAAGTCTTTAAGACAGAATGATACACCCTGCCCATACTGGGGCAGGTTACGACAAACTCCAGGTAGGAAAAACAGCTGGTGAGACAGCTGGCTCTGAGGCAGCTACATGGAATTCCGGCGTGATTGGGCATCATACAGACAGCAGTTAAAAAGGGCAGAGCACAGGGTGCTACCAGGAGCTGGTGATACAAACAGCTTCCGCCACCGGGATAATCTGGACCTAGCAGTGGATGCCGCTTGCACTGCAGAGCAGAGGCCAAGTGGTAAAGGAGCTTCACTGACGACCTGAAATGGAAGTGTTGCCCGCCCCCTTTATCTCTCATCATCTCGTCCCCTTGATTGTCACTGCCTCTGAGTCCTGCCCTTCTCAGCATAGGTACTGCATATCCTATATATTCTTTACTCTAAACAAGGAAGACTTCAGAGCAAGCGCTCTGAAGAACAGGGCTGGGCTATTGTATTTTAAAAAGGTATCATCTGTTAAGTCAAATGATTTTTTCCAATAATGAGCATCATTCAATATAGAAAAGTAGTATATACATTTTAAATATTTCAAAGGGAAAAGAAGACTTTATGTAGGATGAATCATGACCGTTATGAAATGTAGGTTTGGGAAAAGCTTGAGTTTTATCTCATAAACACATTTGGTGCCTATCCAGATTAGGGACTGGGCTCACAGCTCTTGTTTATGCCTGTACATTTTCCCCTTAGTAACTGAAAACAATATTCTACTGTATCAGTTCTCTCTCTCTGTGTGTGTCTGTCTCTCTCTCCCCTTCTGTCTCTCTAATTTCTCTCTCTCTCTCTCTCTCTCTCTCTCTCTCTCTATATATATATATATATATATATATATATGCATCTCATTAATCTTGATACTGAGGACAACTTTAACAAAAACAAGTTATTATTAGTACTATTATTTGCAGTGCTGAAGCTCAAACCCAGAGCTTTGTACATGATAGGTAAATGTTTTATTTCTGAGCTTGCCTGAAAATCTAATTACTTGACAAGAAGATACAGACAATGAAGTGTGCATAGACGAGTTTCAAGTTTGAATTTCTTGCCTGTTAGGGGAAAATAAACAACACATGTTCTGGTCCTCGTTAATGTTCCAATTGTATACTTTTAGGGAAAGTTGGAGGAGATTTTTCCCAAATCATATAAAAAATTAATTTCATACTCTGCTTAAAATCTTGACAATTGAGAAAAACTAAACTTACTTTTAAACAAATTTATATGTCTTTTTATAACACTGCTTATTTTATTCTGAATACCAACTGCATTTGCCAACTATTTTAAGACACATTTTACATTGTTAATAATTATTATATTTATTATATACACAATATTTATTTATAATTATTTCTAAAATATTTTATCCTTATAAAAATAGGACAATTGACTATTTCAAAGTTTTCTATTGATCAATATATGCTAAATATTTTTATTAAAAAAATATTTTTCTTAAATTTATAGATTTTGATATTTTAAGCTTACATATTCACAAAATTGATTTTCAGTCTGAAATATAAATAATTTTTGATATATTAAATAATTTTGATATATATTTTTGATATGTATTTTGATGTATTAAGAGGGATAATTATGCTACTGCATAGACATCGGAATCAAAACAACTGTTTCTTAAATAAATAACCTTTTTTACAGAAGGTCATTTATATATTTTGTATATAATATTTCCTAACGAGAAATTATGGTTGAAAATTTTATTTTGATGTTACTGAAATACAAAAAGATATAAATTAAAAATAAAACTTACCTTTTTCTACTACAAATAAATATTGGAAACAAAATATTCTATTTTTATTAATATAATATAACTGTGGGAATCCCTGTATAACATATAATGTAATCTATAATGGCCAAATGAAATTATGATTATATATGTCTATATATATATATAGTTTACATGTATGTAAATTTATGATGTGTATATAAAGATTTAAAGACAACCAGAATATAAACATGTGTAAGTCGACCTACCTTAAGAACATCTCCTTGTGCTAAATGAAATGTTCTGGCTGAGATATTGATCCCCTTTCCCGCTTGAACCTGAATGCTGTAAATGCACTCATGGTTGTTTTCATAGTTGAGTGGATAATTTGGAGAAAGCAAAATTCCTTCATTATTTGTTGCAGATGCACCACATTCGGCTGCAAGTAAAAGAGAATATTGAAGTACAGTTTAATAGAGAGCATTATTATCTTCATATAATTCTATGTATGGAAGTATAAATATATTGTTTTACCTTTGTTTAACAGAAATATAATGTACAGAATGGCTGAGTGGTGTAGATGATTTGTTCTTATCTAAAATGATACATGGCAAGAAGAGACTACTGCCCTCTGAACAGATATTAGCTTATAAAATGGAGTATGTAGTATATTTTACAAAATATTGCAATTTCCACTTGGACAGCATGGAAAAGAATGAGAGCAAAGATATTTTCTGGACGTTTTAAGTGTATAGAATTTTCTCATATATTTAAATTTGTAAACTAGTGCTTTTAAGGGTAAAAAAAAGTGGACACATGCAATGTGTTTAAGACTGGTTTAATTTGATTTTATTTTTACCTCTAAAACTATTTTGACCACTTGTCCTTCTAAAATTCAGCCTTTCCCTGATCCAAGAGCATTAATAACATAAAGAAAAATAAATACTACATTGTTTTTGCAGTGATGAAAAACTAGCAACTAATAAGTTTAATGAATTGGACATTTTGGGAAATTTTATTACGTTTCGCAATTTAAGCATAGACTGGATTAAGGCTTTCACATAATAAGATATATGGGCTTACTAATTCTCAGGACTAATTGTACAAAATTCGAGGAAGTATTTAACTACTTAGTAACACCAGGAAATTCCTCAACAAATTTTATTGTAATTTTATTTTCTCAACAAGTTTTATTGTAATTTAAAAACCTTGTAGCCATATTACAAAACCAAACAATAAGTCTTTGTAATTATGAAATATGTTTCAAAAATTCAATTCATTCCTTAAAAAAAATTTCTAATTTCTTGCTTCATTACCAAACCATACAGCTGGAAGATTTATATTTTCAAAGATTTAACTAAAGAGAAAAGAACGAAATCATTACATTTCAGAATTCAGACTTAAAAATGATTTGTGGGAAGGATGAAGACAACAAGGTAAATGGAAATGAACTGCTGTACTTTTCACTGCTCAAACATTAACAAGAATGAGGTTCAAGATAAAAGCCTAATGAGGAAAGGAAAGGGAGGGAGAAGCAGTGGCTACACTGTTGACATTGTGTGAAATAATTCCAAAAATGGATTATGTGATGCTAACAACCAGTCACACAAAAAACAGTCACTCATACAGCGTTTCTACCGTCTTTTTATATTAAAAGATAAATAAAACTGTCAAAATATTTTGAGTTATGTTTTATTATAACATTATTTAAATGTATTCAAACAGAAACAAACATTTTTATTCTTGAGTCCTATACAGTCATAAACCAGAACAAACACAGGAACCAAGTAGCAAAAAACAGTGAAGTTAAACATAGTAAACAGACCTACTGTGGCAGAGATTTTATTTCCCTAAACTAAAATGCTCCTTGGCAATCCGTCTCAGAAACTAGTTATGGAGTACAGGCTTTCAGAGTTCACCACATCTTTATTTAAGCTTGTTACAGAATGACTCAATTCTTTTCCCCAAGTTCTCCCTAACTATGAATTTGGTAGCACCTGACACCATGTGGCCTTCTCACAGTGGGAGCTGTTTATATTTTTCTCTCATCTCACTTTTTCTCGTTCATTTATTGGGACTGGGGTGTGCTTGTGGGATATGAAGACAAGGGTATCCACATCATAGAGATGATTTAGAATGCACACATATTTTTGCCAGATTATTTAGAGGAAAATCTAAACTATTTTATAGAATTGTGGAGTTTTAAAAATATTCTCTTAGATGAAAATATTGATTCATAGATTGAGAAGTTTTGCAATTCAGTAAGTTTTAAACTTTTAGCTCTGTTTCTTCAACCTGTATGGCTTTGTAAATGATGTATTTCTTCAAAACTTCAATATCATCACTCATGCAAATGGAAATAATACTCTGTTGTTATGTGCATGCATGCATTTGTGCGTGCATGCATGTGTGGGGGGGGGGAGAGGGGGGGGAGAGAGAGAAGGTCAGTAGCTATCATTGTGAGTATTGTAAGTATAAGTATTAATGGTATCATTATGTCACGAATAGTAGAAAAATTTTAAAAAGAAAAGAAAAAGACGGCTAGAATATTAATCTTGTTCCTAGAATGAAAAAAAAAAAAAACCTTTCCAGACGTAGATTTACATTTATCTATAAAAGACAGATTTTTTTCTAATTCTGGAGAATTATTTATGATATTGTAATTATTTTAGCAATTTGCATAAATTGAGCAAGACACAGATCTCTAAAAATTATAATCATAAATCATATAAAACAGCTTTTTAAAATATACGAATAATTTATTATTAAATTCCTGACACATAACCAGCAAATGTCTTACATTACAGGGTTTGTACTGTGTAACTTAATTAATTTTTTATTTTAAGCATAGCTTATTTTATATTTTGTAAGTAACCTGATTTACAATTTAAATTGGGTTACATTGGCCAAAATTCATTTTGAACTTGGTAAAATAAAATTATTCTGAAGGATTAAGTAAACATTTGGATTAAATTAGATCTTTCTGATTTCACTGGGATCAACTATGTAAATTGTGGACCCCAATGTAAAATCAATACTCACTGCCATATACTGGAAAAATATTAAGTATTTCAAGAAACCAACAGAGCATTAAACCAAGCATGAAACCTTTTTAGCATGGTGCCCTGGGCGACTGTATGGGTTTCACATCCATGAGGCTTAATTGCATTTATTTCTCATAATAATTCTGCAAGATGCAGCTTATTTTCTCTCATTGTATGAAGACACCAAAGTGAGTTTTCTTGCCAACATCAAAGAAACAGGTTTATCAGAGCTGGGGATTACACTGTCATTTGTCATTGCCCAGTGTTAAAGGGTGCATGTATAATTTCTCTTTCAGAGCAAAATTTTTTCAAGAACAGTAGGTAACGTAATAAATTATTATTTTAAGAGACCTACAAGGTGCATTGGTGCATACTAAACAAAGCCTGTTCGGTTTTGTTGTGATATTGGTTTTACAGATATGCAACCTCGTAAGAGCAGAGGTCATTACTCATTCTTTTGCCTTCTGTGAGAAACTGGTCTGCACATAAATAAGCATCTAACAAATTCAATGAAATATATTGCAATCAAGAAAAAATAGTAGCAGCCCAAGAGTAAAAGAATTGCAAATGTGTCCTTAAAAGTTATATTTTTAAAAATTTAAAAACCTAATTCTTCAGTGTAAAAGGAAGCATTCCCAATATGTATTCCAGAAAATAAGTGGAATGGAAACTATTCCAGGTATAATGGTACAAAAGTGACTTTCTTATACTTCAATTACTGCCTCCACTAGTCAAGGGCCTTCTATTAAAAATAAAGAGGATCATATCTGTGGGCTAGGGCTCATGCTGGGGTTCAGAACACATCAATTTCATGTATAATAAATATATATGCATTATATTACACATCATTTTAAATATTCAAGATCATTGAATATCATATTACCTAATACATCGAGGAAAAATAGTGAAATACAAAAAATAAAAATCTGTTCACAATGTTTCACTTATATATATATATATGGGAAAATGTAAATATCTTTCAATGTGTTCATAAAAAAAGTTTCAGTTAAAAGCAAGTTAGGAGGAACATCTTTAACCAAAATACCAGACTCCCTGAATTAAAATATTAATAAAGCACTTATTTTATGGAAAATCTCACCTATGATTTAATATTCAAATTTCAATATGCTTAAAACTGACATCCAGTGCTCACTGCAAAGCTAACATTTACAAGGTCCAAGCTCTCTTTCTGTACTTTGGCTACACAAGTCTTTCTTGGATTTGATACTTTAACATCAAAATAAACAGATATTTTATATTGATTATATGTCCAGGTCAAACAATTGAGCATGCTTTCTGCTCAGTTGTGTAGTGAGTTAACACAATGACATCAGTGAAGCAAAAATCTGGTTTATTTATATTTTTAATTTCTGCTTAGCTAAATATTTGGTCATTTCAGGAATATACTCATGACCGGCACATCATACTTCAAAGAGCATCACACAGAGACATTTACAGAGCAACCCTGTCTGCCTTTCTAGCTGTGAGGCATCTTTCTGTCCCATCCTTCTCATCTCCAGCCTCTGGCTTCAGCGGCCTTGCCACAGTCTGTCACTGTAACCTGTGAACATTCTGCTTTCTTTGTATAAAAACAGTACCTCTGATGCAAATGAAGAAAATAAAGTTCCACACCAAGAAAAAAAACTCAATATTGAATTAGAAAGTAGTTTTTCTTTCTAGCATCAGTGGCTATATGGTATACAGACACTGTCACATGTCGTATATCAAGAATATTTTTTAGAAATATTAAGCATAACGAAAATATCAAAACTTTTATATTATGCGATATGAGTATCTCAGAAAATGTTTGCAATGCATGCTTTAAATTAGAAAATATAAGTATTGGTAAATTATGATCAAATATTCTAAAGATAAGTTAAAATTAACCTAGAAGAGGAGCTTATAGAAGGACAAAAAATACTAAGAAAGAAGGATAATTAGATGCTACTAGCAAAACATCTTACATCAAAGAAAATAAACTACAGAAGAGAAGTAAAAGAGTAAAGCTTGAGTAAAGGAAGTCCTAGAAATCTGACAGGAAAACGCGAGAGCTTAAAATCTCCCTTAGTCATAGTGACACCTGCCACAGCTGAGCAGGCTGAAGGGGTCATGGAAGCCAAGAATTCTAGGCTAAACTGGACAACACAGTAAGATTCTATCTCCAAAGTTTAAAAGAAAAGGAAATAGAAAAGAATAGAAAGGATTGGAATGGAGGGGAAGGGAAAGAGAATGAAGGAGAGGAAAAGGAGGAAAAGAAAGAGCTGAGAGGAGGTGTCATGGTTTATGTCAGTGGTCCCCAAGCCTCATAAATTATGCGTTTGTGATTGGTTCATTGTCTAGCGCTCGGATTGGCGGTGTGGTGCTACACCCGCCTAGGGGTGGAGCTTGGGTATGA